AATAATAAACCATGAATACATTTAATTATAATAATATTGTTGTGCCGAGTGGGGACAGAAGGGAGATAAAGGTGCAGACGTTAGGGTATCGGGGAATACGGGTCAGATGGGTTACTTTCTGTCCCTCTGGTGACTGCACTTCAGGCTCCTCTCATTCTTGGATAGAGCAGCTAATCATTTGGGGCAGTGTTGGCCTAATAGTTAGGGAAGCACACTCGGAATTGAAAGTTTACTGATCTTAATCCTTGACCAGCGAGGTACCACTGAGGTACCCTGAGCAAGGTACTGCCCCCAAGCACTGCTCCCTGGGTGCTGAATTAGCTGGTGACTTTAATACAGTTATCAACCCCACTTTAGATAGATCATCCAATATGTTAATCCTAGGAACTGGCACTCCACGGAAATATTAGATATCAGACAATACTCACACTTTTCTCTGCCCCAAAAATCATACTCCCGTATTGATTTTTTATTTACTATTAACTCAATTATTTCCGATATCCTAGAACCCAAAATACATCACATTTTAATCAGTGATAATGCCCCCGTTTCAATAAATCTAAACATCAACAAACCCAAACAACCCATTGGTCACAGGAGATTTAATATATCTCTGCTTAATGACCCAGACTTCAACACATTCTTCATAAAAGAGTGGACATCTTTCAAGTAAATAAATGACTGTCCTGAAATCTCATCCATATTACTCTGGGAAACAGTGAAAGCAGTGCTGAGAGGAAAGATCATATCATTTTCATTATACAAAGAAAGAAGGAACATATGATGGCCCAGACAGGTCAATGTAATACAAAAGCATAAACAAAATACAAAAGCTACAACATGAATACAAAAGTAGCAAGAAAAATACAAAAGCCGCAACACAAATGCAAAAGCCGCAAGAAAAATAAAAAAGGCCACAACAGAAATACAAAAGCCACAACGGAAATGAGCCACAATGTAAGGAAATGCAGCAGCCTGTCTGTCTATATATATTTTATTGGTCCAAGTTGCCAGGGACTATTATTGCTGGTGGACAGGCAGGGTGCAGGGGAAGTTTTAGAAAAAGTTTTATAAGGAAGTGAAATGTTGTTATCGCTTGTTATGCATTTTTTCCATGTTTGATTTAAGCACAAAATTGGAAATTGATAAACGTCATAATCCGTTTTTTTGCTCAAATCAAAAATGGAAAAAAATGGATAAGGAGCATTCACTTTCAGTTTTGTTTTTTTTCATCTGACACAAGTGGCGTGACAAGTGACAGGTTACCTGAGAAAAATGGTAAAAACCATAAAAACAAATAGCATTGGGTACGTCTTTTTAAGAGTGGGAAAATTCGTGCTGAGATTCCATTGCGGTGAAGCTTTCCGTACTATGCCAATACATGTTCAAATCATGCGTGCTTAAAATATGGTACACGTGTAGACATAGTAAGGTATAGTAACAGAACGGTGTCATACCGCACATATGAAAATGACAGACTCGATCGACTTAGGAAAATCCTGTACTTAATACATAGGACAATAAATATTGAACCATATTTCAAGTCAAGTCAAACCTACTTGAATTGAAATTGGTTCAAGATTTATTAATAAAATACAAGAAGGACAAACAGACATAAATAAAAATAGCAGCATTACGACAAATAGCAGCAATATGGTATACTCATAGGTTTGATATGAATAATGTCAACAGTATGAACAGAGTAATGACAGACTAAGTAGTGGCAAATGATTTCCATTAAGTATTTGAGACTTCTGTGATCTGTTGCGCATTTTACTGAACAAATTCTATGCAATCAAACCTAATTTCAGTACGGAGCCCCTCGATCATGACATACTGACAAAAATTATTGGGACATTCTAAATAACAAAGAAAGTGGGATCGAATTAATAAAATGTGGCCACAGCATAATGAAAAAACGAGGGAACAAATTAGTTTGCCTTTTGCACATCTGTTCTGCAAAGCACAATATCACTTTAAATTTTGAATCATATGAGTACATAATGCTTACTTGTGTACATACTGCTTGTCATTAATGTATCTGTTTATGTATACCAAGTATATAACACCTTCATTGACTTAACATGATTGAGAAGGAAGAATAATAAAAGTTATGTACCATATCACCATGTTTAGTTATCTTTTTCTATTTAAATCAAATGCACAGTCTCATTCATTCATTGTTACATTTCACTGCATGATTTACGTGTATAACTATGCGTGTGACACATAAAACTTCTTCAATCTTGAGTCTAGTTTAGTAAAGCATCCTGGCTCACAATACTATTCAACAGAAGTGCTGCTGGCTAATAATTACTTGCAATGCAAGACTTTTAGTGTTTGTAGGTCATTCCATCCTAAGGTTGTTGCCATTTTACATCTGAAGAAATACTGGACTTCCTTCACGATAAAGTATAAAATGTGTGAGGGGGAGCGGTCAAACCACAAAAACGGGACAAATTTTGTCCTACATTGGTTCAAGATGGGACACAGCATTTCATTTTTAAATACTGGACGATCCTGTAAAATACAGGATGGGTGGCAGCTTAACCTTAAAACTAAACTTGGTCAAACTAATTCCGTCCTTACCAGCAGGTGCAGATGTCTAGTGGTCTAAATGAAATCGAAACATTACACTATGTAAGGCACTTCCATAGGAAACTGGGGGTATTCCATGAAAGTAGCTAAAGAAAGTCAGACTTTCCCTTAATCCGTCTTCCTGGAGGGTATTCCATGAAGCAGGCTTAAGGGAAAGTCTGACTTAATTATTTCGACAAGTCAGTCTTACTTAAGTGAGAGTTCCGTTCCATCAACATGAATCCCCGCTGAATTACCACGGTAATTTAGGCCTGCGAACAAGCCTGGTCCGGACCAGGCTAACTGTCTCGCTTAGTTTAGCGTTGTCTCAAAGAATGTCCGACATGGGGGAACAGATTCCCAAAAGATCGTTCTGTTGGACGAAATTCGATCTTACTTTTCATGCCATGTAATCTGTTGAATTATATTCCCTCGTCTGACATATTTGACATTATCTGATTGAAGTATTTTGCTAACCTGTAAGGTGTACCAAAATTACATGATTTTGTTTGAGTTAGCAGGAGAGTGAGTCTTGTATATACGTATATAAAAAAATGGAACCCTGTAGTCAGTGCTGTGAGTAAAAGCAAGACGAGAAAGCAGAGAATAAAAACCATCTTTTTGGAAGCAATCATCTGCGTGATACTTCCATAATATGGAGAACAGAGCTGAGATTGCTACATAATCAATATAATAAAGCCTATAAAATCACATCTTAGCATTCCAATTAATTTCAAAATAATTACAGTAAAATCCTGTTATAGTGGACTCGCTTATAACGGAATATCGTCTATAACGGATGAAGTCCCCTGGTCCCGGCCGTGCGCCTTTAAGAACATGCAGGAAAAGCATCGGATATAGGGGACTAGCATATAATGGAATTTCGCTTATAATGGACAAACAATATGGTCCCCAGGGCCGCTTTTAGCTGTAGTTTTGTTCGGCTATAACAGACATGCAGTTCCCACCTATAAGGCGTGTGGCGTGTCGGTGATATCCAGCGTAGATACGAAGTCAGGATTATTAATAGTCACGCATCTGGTCAGGTAAAATTGGATTACTACATGTACAATATAATGATCTATACCACAAGTGTGTCTGCTGGGGCGTGGCATGAGTAAATGGTGTCCAGTAGTTGTGTTCTGGGCATACAGCAACTCTGGATATAACGGACTGTTTTGCCAGGTCCCTTGAAGTCCGTTATAATGGTATTTTACTGTAAAATAAAAGCATATGCATATTACAAAGGTGACACCCCAGACACCCCAGCCAGAGCTGTGGTCCTCCTCAACCGGCCTCCCCAAGTCCTCAGTGTCTAAGGTGGAGTTAAAATAGAGGGGAAGAGAGCTGCGCAGTCCAGCTGTGGGCTGCCGAAGCAGCCGACCCAGGACCTGCACAGCTCCCCTCGCCCTCCAAGGCCCTATGTGAAAGAGTGGTGTGATATGGATGTATGTCTAAAGTGCAGTTAAAATAATGAGGGGGGTGGTGAGTGGCTAATCATCACCCCTTCCCTGTGTGTGGTGCGGTGTGATGTCTTTGGTGTGGCGTCTAAAGTGTAGTTAAAAGAGTTGGGGGGTGAATAGCTGATCACCCCCCAGTACCTATATGTAGTGTGGTGTGGGCTGGGGGGGCCGTGGGGGAATAGGTGACAGCGCTGCAGGGAAGCGGGTATCAGGCGCGACATGCCCGGATGCACAGCACCAACACCCACAGGGGCGTCTCCGCCCCCCGCTGCAGCACCCCTGCCCCAACCCAATTGGGGTATCCGGAGTCTCATCTGCATAGGCA